AAAATGGAAATCTTTTGGAGATCGAAAAATCTAAAAGGAGATCGGCATTCATCCTTAGAGAGTTTTCGTCATCAGTAACAGAGATCTTGGAGCTTAGATCTTGGCTTTCTAACCGAATTTTTGGTTTCAAATTAACTCTTTCACAGAGTTTAAAAAAACTCACACTGAGTTATAAACTCGTTAATAGTTCTTTTCATACTTGCCATGCAAGTTCCATCAACCGTTCTAGTGAAGTGAGACGTTCGGATCGTCAACGAGAAGCAAACTCGATACGAATATCGATCGAGAGAGACATATCATTGCTATCGTGAAGAACCCAGTTTTAAACAAATGAGAGGATCTCCATCGATCCTCTTCTTTTTGTAAATCGGGATTCTGATTGAGAATATTTATAATTTTTTTTCTAAGCCTGTTAGAGAGAGATTACTTTGAGAAAATTATAAACCATTCTTTATCTAAATTAGTTAGAGAGAATAAAATCAAATATATTTCTCGCAATTATTCTTCCAATTTTCCCACAAACAGTATTATATGTAAATCTATTTCAATAAACAACAAGAAGACCTTACAACTTACATCTTGTTTGGCCTAATCAGTAACTTAATTTTCTTATAATTACTTTTATATTTATAAGATATCAATCTTAAGTTTGGCGAGAGTTAGCTCTTTTACTTATTTCTTACTTATAAGTAAAGAAAAAATAAGTTGGGATTTCCCAGCTTTTTTTTACCTGCTTATAAAGAGTTTTTCTTATTTAGACCAAAAGACTGAATATCCTCAAACCCCCTTTATCAATCTACAACGGATCTAAAAAAATAAAATTAATTAAATAGTTTCACTATTATTTTTATTCATTATATAAATATTTATGTAATTAATTAATAAAAAATTATATTATATTATTAAATTATTACTTAATTAATAAGAAATTAATAAAATATTGCCAATACTAGTAAGTAATAACCATAAATAATGTGATGTATAAAACATATTTTAATTAAATAATTTATTTTTATAAATAAATTTTCTTATTAATTAATTAGTTAAATAAATTAATTTAAACAAAAGTATTATGATATTAATCAGCTATATTCTTATTGTTAGAAGGATATATGTTTTATTATGAATTTAGTACTTAGTTATTAATTTAATTTATTAATAATTACTATTTAGTTAATTGTTTATATATGTTTGAGTCAAAAGTTGAGATTTTCATTGGTGATGAACTCATTACAATTTCAGCCATTACAATAAGTTCAAAAAAAAAAGTCGATCTTTTTATAAGATCTCCTTTATACAATGAAAATAAAGATTACAACTCTTGTCAAACAGCGTAACGGACATTTATCACCCGCTGCTTGCGTGAGATCTTTACTTGTGCCGGGGACGTTAATATCTGTGGACCGCCGCGGATCAGATCCGGTTGACAGATTGATGATCAAAGCTCTTACTTCACGAAGGAAGTAATCGCTGCAGCGGTAATCTCGACCAAGCGAGATTACGGCTCTTCTCGAGATTTAAGACCAAGCTTAAATCCGGAGGGATAGGGGACGGGTCTCAGATCTCTCGAACTCCACTCTTTATGCATAGGAGATCGCTAAGATCTGCTAACCCTTGTTGTAAATTCGTGGCTCCACTCTCCAATTCGGCATCGTTTCGCCTTCTTGATGTCTACCCTTTGAAATGAGCACCCGAGCTCGTATTTATAAGCTTCGGAAACGGGTATTTGGATAAGAACGAGGGATTCCTCCTTATCTTCAGTTAAGAACTGATTAACCATAATATCAGATCAGTTGAGACGCTCAGGAACCAATAAATCCCGAGAGAATCCGTGAAAACCGAAAAAAAAAATCAAACCG